ATCCCAGCATCGTTGTTAAATTTTGTATTTTTGCGTTTTTCATCAAGACTTGTCCATATTGCTTACCATGTTATATCTTTTGAGAAATTGCTACTGCCTTCATGTTTTCATGAAGGAGAGTAGCAAAGAGAGATTTCAGACAGTTGTCTGCACTATTTTTTGGTGCCACCACATTTGTATTATTTATGTTTCTTATGCCGTTTTCGATTGGTGAATCTGTATTCAATCTAGACTTACTCTCAATCTGTCAAATTTTGATGCCTAATTGAACATTTTTAGAGTAATAAACAATTTTTGTTGTAGTGTTAGTAGATTCATATTTTTCAGAAATAGATATCTTGAATCAAACCACAATTTTGTCAAGTCATATAAAACAGATATTAATTTCAGTTCCTTCTTTAATGGTTTCACAACAAATTTTTGAATATTTCCGTCTTTAATTCAACAATCTGTCTGTTCGGCTTTGTTGAAATACTTTGACGTCATTATTTTTGTTGCTGATTTTTTTTTGTCTGGTCTTAAGGAATAAATAAGCAGCTTCTGAGCGCTAAACGCCTACGGCTTTTTTTTTGTTCTTCAGTTTAAATTCGAGAAAGCTATCGTGCTAATTTCTTAATGTATCCAATATGTTTGCTTAATAATTGCAATAAGTCATAGTATTCAAGACCACTTTATTAGCTAAAATTTCTTAAATCGACTTTGGACCGTCTTCATTTTTGAACTTCACCACAACAACGTACCATACTACATTATCTGTTAAAGATTATGGGCGTTCTTCGAAATCACTTCGTAATGGTTATAGGCATTGATGCATGCATTCACACCATATTTAACTATAATTAAATATGTGCATAGGCCTACGGTTACTATGAAGAATGACAGTCAGAATTTATTGCGGTGATGGCGTTAGAATTCACACCAAGTCTTTGCAGCAACTTTCCGTATTGACTGGAAACTTTAAATGAAGGATTGTGAGCTCTTCTAAATGTATCTTATGTGTAAAAAACTAACTTTTGAAAGTTTCAGTTTTTGTATAGGCTATTTAAAAAATGTACGTAATATCCGCGCTACATTAACAATCACTGTCTTTATTTTTCGAACAATTCTTTAATTTTTATTTAATAATACAATTTTATGTGCAAACAAAATATTAACTGGTATTTTTATAAAGATTGTAAAAAACAAGAATTTTTAAACTTTGTCAATGCAATTTCTTCACAAACTGTATATCAATAGTCAAAAATTATTTCACTTTTTTAATAAAAGATAGGTGCGCTGATTCTGAGCTTCACATTTGACAGGACCCGAGGTCGATTCCTGGTACTTGCAGTCTCAAAAATAATTATTTACGAATAATTAAATACAAGAATTATTTCTAAGACCACTGATGATGGGTATTTGGCAATACTCAAAACAGCTATATGATCAGCCAAATTCAATTAATTAAAATAATATAAGAAATAAAATTTTTGTTGTTGTAGTCCATTACTGTTCGAAAAACCTTTTTATAAAAAATTAAAGAGCTAAAAACAGCTACTTTTTGAAATACGCAATCGTAATGCTGCGTTTAAAGGTTCGCGCATATTTACGTAGTTTGGAATAATTTTTTTTTATACAAATTTTGAACAACGGTTATGTTAAAGCGCATATTTGCATAGTCTGCGTAGTATACCACAGTTAACACTTTTTCATTAATGCACCTTTTGTGTTTGGACATGTTTTTTATATGTATAGTTTAAGCATTTTGTGAATGCATTTTTATTTTATTTGCATTTTTTTATGCACATTTGACGCCTAGGCGTCATCATTGTACTTAAGCCCTAATTTCCACTAACATGTATCACTCACGGTCACATACAAAATCAAAACACCCTGAAATCCATTTATATTATTATATTTTCTTTGGTTTTTATATTTTGCGTTAACATTAAAACTATTTAACTTTCTATTTTATAAGTGCGAAGTGATACTTTACTAGATATGGTTAATAATATGACAGAAGGGTATGCATTAGTTCATCAAATGCCTTTCACATGTGATCGTGAAGGTTTTGCAGCAACTTTTGAAAAGGTTAGTCATTATTTTTTCGAATTGCTTATAACTGTGTAATTATCTTTTAATTTAGATATACTTTGGTACAGTGCAGTCCAGAATTTATTTATCAGCTGATTTGCTTGGTATAAACTGTCATACAGGAATGTCCTGCTTGTTGCGTAAACCAGTTATTGATCAACTCGGGGGACTTCAAACATTTGGTTGTTATTTAGCAGAGGATTTTTTTATTGCCAAAGCTATAGTAAAAAGCGGGTGGAAAATGCGTATAAGTAACCAACCAGCTTTACAAAATAGTGGTTTTTGTGATATTAAAAGTTTCCAAGCTCGCCTTATACGTTGGGCTAAATTGCGTGTTGCCATGGTACCAACAACTATTTTACTCGAACCTCTTTCAGAATGTATGATCTTAGGCGCTTTTGCTTCTTGGGCAGCATCACTTTTATTTAGCTGGGATCCTTTGGTGTTTTATTTGGTGCACATTCTAACGTGGTTGTTATCAGATTGGATATTACTTTCAATAGTGCAGGTTTGTAGATAGTTTAAAATCGCTATATATATTTTTGTTAGATATAGTAAATGAAGCATAATTTTTTTATAAATATATTTATATTTTTAATATTAAGAATTGTTTAATCAAAGTTGTGTGATATAATTTAAATAAACTAATTGCTTCATATTTATTCAGTAATCATGATATAACTCTTTTTTTTTTTATAGCATGGCTCATTAACAATTCACAAGTTTGAGTTTGTTGTGGGTTGGTTATTTCGTGAACTTAGTGGACCTTACTTGTTTCTCAACGCTTTGTGGAGTCCAGCAATCCGATGGCGTACTAGAACATATAAACTGCAATGGGGCGGAATAGCTTATGAGCTGCCAGCCAACACAAATTTAAGTACGAAACGCTTAATACCATCGTAGCATTTAATATTCATTATTTGATAAATAAACTAGTTTGGAGTGTATATGAAAAATATTTAGACTTAGATAGAATTTGTAAATTTGTTACTTGAAGTAAATTAAAGTGGTATTATTATATAAGCTTATTATCGCATACTTTTTTAATTTGATTTACATACAAATTTATCTTAAAAATGCATTTTGTAAAGTAAAAACATTTATAACAAATTATTAACAGCACTATATACATACTCAAATTAATGGATTTATGTATTTAATTTTATTTGTAAATATAGGGTGCATATCAAAAAGAAAATAAAATAAATAATAATAATTGTATATACATACATTACAAGAGTATAATAGACTGGTTATTAATACAACTTATTATTAGTTTCAATATTTATATAAAATCATTTTTAACATAATAACATAACATTTAGAAATATTGCTAATAATTCCTGTAAAATAAATGTAAGGAAAGGCTTAACAAAATATGTTAAAGTGGACACTATTGCTGTTGATATAAATCAGTTATAATTTGAAAACTAATAAAATTAGAATATCAATGGAAACATTATTTGTATTTGCTGTTAAAGATGTGAAATGTGTAGCTGAAGGTTCATTAAGATTAAGGAAAATTTTTTTTCTTTCTGTTGTCAATTTTTCGCTGTGTAGGATTGGACTTTGAAAACCGCTATATAAAAGTCTTGCTGTAAGCCGTTTTTAAGTGCTTGAAGCAATTGAGATGCTGACAATCCCATCCATAAACCTCAAAATAATGAAAGGACTATATGTAGACATGTTTGTTTATTCATTGTTATCATAACATGACTGAATTGTAAACACAAGTATTTTATCTGACATCGACATATATATGTCTATTTGTAGGATATTGTCTTGAAATTAGCTTCTTGTGTTTAGATTCTGTTAAAAATTCAGCATATAACTGCTTTCCATATACCTCAAAATATCATAAGGTTAATTTTTTCTTGCCGATAATGGCGTGTCTTTTTATGACGAAAGAAACTATTTAAAAGTTAGACGAATTCGAATAGCAAAGAAAGGACAAAGACAAAAATTTTTCATTTTTAATTTATTGAAATTTGGCTGACCATACAACGCTGTTTCGAGTATTGCCAAGTACTCTTCATCAGTGGTCTTTGGAAATAATCGAATTTTATTTAATTAGTTTATAGTCCGTATATAATTTGTTTGGACTGCAAGTGTCAGGCTTAGAACTCGTGCCTGTTAAATTAGAAGCGATGACTAATCGTGTTTATCCACAAATAGCCAAGGCTGCACAAACTTTCAATTATATATATATATATATATATATATATATAAAAAACTCTCATATCTTTTATAACTCCTCTTTATTTCAAGCATTCATTTGCTTTTATAAAAATTTGCTCACATTATATCTTACATAGTATTGTGTAATAGGATAGTGGATTGTAAAAATATTTAATGATGTGATGTTCCAAGAACTTGCTTGATTACTTGCGCACTATTATAAAAGATTATTTCAACTTATATATAAAGGTTTTTTTTATTCAACTTTTAACAGGACAAAATTTGTTTTTCTGCATAACGTAACAACCATCCTCCAAGGCAAAGACATTTTTTCGAAAGTTGACTTATAGAAGGCGTACTACCAGATTTCACTGGCCGTGTACGACATATTGAAGACGGCGATTACTACTTCTTCTCCATCAACGGTGAAGGAGTTAAAACGTTTCAAGGAGATGATTAATTTTGTAACCACATGGATGCGTTGTTTAATTTTGCTGAGATATCGCTCGATCATGCAATAAATTTCTTAATTAACCTGTTCGATAAACTAGTGTGCGACCAAGAAGTAAAGGAACAAAAGACGTTTGGATTTTTTTTATATAATTTTATTAAATCCAAACTTACTCTAATTATAAACTATTTGTTATGCCACAGAAAATCCTAGTTACAATAGTTCTAGCCGATGACATCGAAATGTCGAAGACGTTATATATTATAATAAATCCTAGTTACAAGGATTCTAGCTGATGACATCAAAATGTCAAAGGTGTTATATATAATAAGAGAAAAAAATGCTAAATAGAATCCTTCTAAATTAGCGCTGACCTTGCGATTGTTGGAGCCTAATAATTTCCTAATAACTTCTCTATAACCCAATTTCCCTAATGTACGCCCTTGGTTTCTGGCTTAGATAAATCTTGCTCGCTAGATACTAAGTCTATTTTTACTCATCTCTCCCCAGATTACTGGAATGAAATTTTCACAATGCTGTGGAAATCTTCTCCATTCATTCCTAAAAGGTTGTTTAGTGGGTTCAAGTCTCACACAGTGGCTTTCGGGCTTCCACCTACGGTCAAAAAAAAAAAATCATCAATAATTTATTATTATTCAAAAATATTTCAACTATTATATACTGCTTTTACATAATAAAACTATTTTATTTCAAATTACATTCATTTAATTAAAACTTAAAAAATAAAATTTACTTTATAACTTTTACTGACCATTTCAACGTCTACAACCAGCGACGTTTATTCAATCTTTCTCTAGGAAATCGCAAAAACTATAATATCAAAATCATCTGGAAGCCAGAAGATATTATCGCATTCAAGACTTGTAAAGCAGATTTAGGTCGTGTGCGAGTTAGGTTAAGTTGCGTTCTAAATGAGGGAAATGCTAAGTTGTGCCGATAATGTAGTGATGTTTCGATATGTGTTGATAAATGGCTAAATGTGTGCAGTGCAAAAAATCCCAAAAAATCTTCCGTTTGGTTTAGCATCAACTTAGCCTAACTCGCACACGTCCGAAATAATAATTGGGAGAAATTTTTAACTGTTGTTTTATTGTCAAAGTGTAAACAAAACAGATTTGGAAATATTAGTAAATGTAAGTACTCGTTGTATTTTTAAATTTAATAACTTGTGCGAATTTTTTCTGTATTTCTTTTGATTTTAGATGACTCAAATTAATACAACTGTGGAAGGAAAATCTGAGTGATTTCCGTAAATGTAAGCGCAATGGGCATATTTGTCAAATAATTTCTAAAGAACTTGGGAAATTTAGTGCGCAAGAAGTGCACACAAAATAAATAACCTGCAGCAAAGACATAGGTATTCACCTCCCACATTTTTATTTGATTAGTTATTAACATGATTAGAGAGCAGAGAAAAAGCAAATGGGTCCTTCCGGAGGGAGCCGACGAGAATGGAAGTACTTCGGAAGGATCCATAAAATGATAGGGTCAAACTCCGTTAATAGTGATGTTGTGGAGGAGTCAATCATTAGTTAAATTATATTTCTTAGTATTAGATTTAATATTAATATTATTATTAGTCAAGTTTGTAGTTATTAGTATTAGAATAAGTATTAGTATTTAATAAACACTGTACATAACTATTTACTAAATTTGTAGCTTTTTGTATTAGAATAAGTATGAGTATTTAATAAAAACTGTATATAACTATTTATTAAATGTTAATGTTGTATTTTACTTATGAAAACTTAATGCGATCGTATTTCTTATAACTTTCGCCTCCACCGACGGGTATCTGACCGCCTTCTATTACTCTTGCTTATCGAGAGAAAATATCACTGAATTCATGAAATTTTTTCAATGAAATTCTTTCAAAGATATAGGAGTCGTTGTTTCTTCCTGCCGACCCAATATTAATGTAGGTAAATTTTGACCTGAGGAAATAAACAAAAAAATAATAATGTTCGTGTTCAATTATGAACTAAATTTGCAAACTTACCTATGATAGCAACATGCGAGCAAAACCACGGAACACCAACCCTTATAATTATAATAGTCAACGGCTTTTATCCTCCGCGGTTGAATCTCTATATGACAGCCATCTGTTTAATAAAGGATTGTTAATAATATAATAAAATCCTTAATAATATAATAAATTCTTAATATAATAAAGAAATCCTTTATTAAGCAGATGACTGTCATATAGAGATTCAACAGCGCTCCAAAACATTGTGGGAAACCAAGATTGCAAAACCCGTTTACGGATTCCTTAATTTCTGCAATAATAGGAGGGCAAGACGATATGTACTCATTGAATATTTGGCAAACCGCGTTGCAGACATCTAATACAATTTTACCCACAGTACTTCTTCCAACACCACTTAAATTAGCAACAGTCCTATATTCAGCAAAAGAACCAAGTGCAAACAAACCGATAGCCACTCTAGAGCAATGCAAGCTCGCATATTAGTGTCCTATTTAGCTAGCGTGTGAACTTTTTCATCGTTTTTTTAAAAGATTCTCTGCTAAAACGGTAGTTTTCTTTAAATTTTGTATCATCCATTGCTGGCACATCTTGTTCCCAAAAATTATTGCTTCGATCCTAAAAGAAAATTATTCAATCATTTGCATTCCCCTTACCAATATTTTATACTTACGAATTTCCACAATTGTCTTGTGCTAATTCCTGAAGCTATGGATAATCTTCTTCTTGCTATGAATTTAGTTTTCATAATAAAAAGTTTATTAATAGCTTCATGATTTTTTATTACTTTCAATAATAACATTTTTAGTATTAAATTGAACAAACGGCGTTTTTTAACCAAATAATAACCATAACCATATAACAACCATTTTAAATTTAAAATTCTCTCGCTTATTCAATAAAAAAAAACATATGATATAGCAACTTCTTAATGCTAATTTATATCGTCTATCAGGGTATTTTTAAAATGATCATTTAAGGTTGCTTAATGATAATTTAGTACGGTCGTCTGTCAATGCTATTAATTCGCCAAACCCTGTATAATGAATTAATTTTCAATGCCTAATTATGTGACACTTCCTTCTAATTTTTTATTCTCAATTCGATTATTGAATTCACTTATTAATCTTTCTAATATACTACATAAATAATATTAGGCCTTTTCGGTGGCTCGCAAGTACGACTGGCCTATACTGGCCGAGATGTACACAAAACAACAACACTGTTTTCTCAACCTCAGCCAGTATAGTATACTGGCCACAAACATCGACTAGTAAAAAAAGTTTTTTTTATAAAAAAATTTTTTTTATGGAAATACACGCAAAGTATGGACCACAGAGGAAACGACGTGGTTTCTAGAGTGCTACTTGACACGAAAGAAAGAGTTTTAGGAAACAAGAAAAAAAAGACTTGGATACCAACATGTGCTTGAGGACATTATAGCACATGGAATTGCAATAGGTTAGGTTAGGTTATACCGGTGATCCCTAGTGGATCCACTTAGGCCTATTGCCCAATTGTGATGCCGTATATATATGGTGAAAACCTCAGTGTTTAAAACCGTCTAGAACCTTTTGCAAGGCACAAAATGCTATTTAAAATCTACATATCGTTGAGTCTTCCCATCTTTCGTTAAAAGTATTAGAACTCAATAACAATTTACATGATGTTAGCGATATGCCAAGATAGTCTAGGTGCTCCGAGTATGGTCCTGAAGCACCCTTTCTGGCTAACTCGTCTGCTTTGCAATTTCAGAAAATATCCCTATGGCCGGGAACCCAGATTAGAGCAATATTGAGCTGCGTCGACATTTCGTTCAGAGATGTGTAGCAGTTAAGAATCGTCCTAGATGTAAATTGGACTGAACTCAAGGACTTTAATACAGCTTGACTGTCTGATAGTATGTATATATTCCTGCCAAATATATCATCTACATTCAAACAAGCTATAGCTTCCCTAATGGCGACCACTTCCGCCTGAAAGACACTACAATGATCTGGGAGTCTAAAGTAGGAAGATTTATTCAATTCCTCTGAGAAAACTCCACTACCTACACCACTACTTGTTTTGAATCCGTCAGTGAAAATGGTTACGCCTGTAACGACACGGATTCGTCGTTTTAATTCTGCTGAGGTATTACTCAGTCGCGGTCCGGGTCGTTGCAATAAATTTGTTTTATCGACTAGTTCGAAGCAGGTAAACCAATGAGTGGAAAGTAAAAGACCGTTTGTTTTAATTATTTTAAAATTTTATTTATTAAAAGTTTTCTTAAATAACTTATTCTAGTCTTGATTCTACTCAGTAAGTTTTATCCAAAGACGTCAGAACATCAAAGGTTTGTTTTTCCAAATCTACGTAATTAGTTTCTAGCCAAAGACGTCAAAACATCAAAGGCGTTTATAAAGTCTATTCAATAATTTTTACCCAAAGACGTCAGAACATCAAAGGGTTTTTTCCAAATCTACGTAATTAGTTTCTAGCCAAAGACGTCAAAACATCAAAGGCGTTATACAATCTACTCACAAGTTTCTACGAATTTATTTAGCCTTAACGTCGAAACACTATAGGCTTCTAAAAGTGGACTTAGCGCTGGAGTAGTGATCTACTCACTTCGGTGTGCCGGTGCTAAGTGATCTTTCATATAAAATTTCCGCTATTTATATACGACACTTTGCTTTGCTTAATTGCACGCACAACCGCACAAGTATAATTCGCTGTCAGCTTTGTTATGCTTGTCGTGTGTGCGTATGTTCGCGGTTGGCTTTGTTTTGCGTGTCGTTTGTGCGAATGTTCGCGGTTGGCTTTGTTTATTTGTTTAAATATATAAATCGAGTTTTATCCAGACGATTTTTAGTAAAAAATAATAAGTTTTATGTAGGGCGGAATTTGTACAAAATTCCGTCCTTACACGCCCTCATCTAAGAAGGGAGCACCTGACGTCCATACTTCTCTAAATGGAAACTCGACATTACATTTTCTGTCAAAGTAGAGAATAGGTGTGATGTAATCAACGTTTTTAGGAGTACAATTGAAAAGATTTAGAATGGAGGCATGACCATAGTCACTGGCTCTCCATTGGGAGGTAGCTTTTAGTCTTAAAGCAGATGAAGCTGCCATTTGTTTACTAATAATATCCATTGGCAGTAACTGAAGCATCAAATCTAGTGCAATAGATGGTCTGGTGCATAGCGCCCCGCTAATACAGAGTTCAGCTCTAGGCTGAATCCTGTTAACTACCGAACAGTACGAAGATTTATCAAGAGCTGTCCACCATACCGTAATACCATTCAGCAATATGGGCCTAATAACAGCTATATATAGCCATTGGGTGATGTGAGGTTGAAGACCCCACTTCTTACCAATAGCTTTCTGACACAGAAGAAGCGAAATATTGACTTTTCTTGCGCGCTCTAGAGTGTTTTTCTTCCAAGAGAGTTTCGTATCGAAAACTATACCTAAAAATTAGACTTCCTCCTTCACATGTATCAGAACCGAGTAGAGAGGGGGAAGAAAATTTTGGGACCGTATGTTTTGTAGTGAAAACCACGACAGTTTTATTGGGATTCACCCCAAGGTCACATTTTTGTGTCCATTTGTTTAGGATATTAAGACCATTTTGTGGAATGCATATGCAATAGTTTCGCAGTCCTCTGCCTTCAGTTTTATTAGCAGTTCATTCACCACTATGTTTCAAAGAAAAGGAAAGGATGGGCTTCAATGAGTCTGCCAGTTAGCAACTGATTTATAAAGCCAATGAGCGCATCATCAACACCCAGACGAGAGACCGCGCTTACTATTGCACTCGGGAGTATATTGTTGAATAGGGAGTATATCTAGTATATCTACGAAAGCAACCATACAAAATTCTTTGAGTTTAATGGATTTTTCTATTCTATAAGTGAGGGAGTGGAGAGCTGTCTCCATGCTGTGAGGAGGACCACTGGTTGGGGCTTACAGCACGCCTTACTTCTACGTCTATAATTATTTCAAGGGCCTTCAACATGAAAAAGGAAAGGCTTATTGGACGGAGTTCATTGGGGTAATGGTGCGTGGTTTTTCCTGCTTTGGGTCTAAAAACTACTATAACCTCCCTCCATTTAATCGGGACATAGTTAAATAAGAAACAATATATAAAATTTGGCAAAAGCCGGTTGTGTATTAACTCCCAAGAATTCTGGAATTTTCTTATATTCTTGCAGAGAGATCTTGTGTTTCAGCCAATCACTCTCATTATTGTTTAATTTTGCCCTATTGAAAAGTCTCCTACACTCTTTTCGTAAAAGATCTAAGTGCTTATTCCACCAAGATGGGTTGCATTTCCTACTAGGTCGAGTGGGGGGACAGACATAATTGAAAGCTTCATTGAGCACTGAGGTTAGATCTTGGATTTGATTGTCTAGATCAACAGTGTTCCCAGGGGGACCGGAGGAAATGTTTAACAGCAGCTCACTTAGCGCTGCATTATAATTCGTCCAGTTTGTATTTTTAACATTTGTAAACGTTTTTTGGTTGTAGATGTTCGATTAATCCAAGGTTAGGGTGAATTCTAGAATCATATGGTCTGATAACGAGTGTCGAGTGGACACTTTCCACTTCTTGACCGATTCGTGAAGCCTAGCAGTAGCAAGAGTGACATCTAGCACTTCCTGCCTGTGTTTAGTAATAAAAGTTCATTGCAGATAAAAAGATTGTTACTAAATATAAAATCAAAAAGTAACTCACCTCTTTCATTAGTGTTTGAGCTGCCCCAAACCTCATGATGAACATTGGCATCGCAACCTATTAGAAGCTCTACTCCGAGTCTCCTGGCGCTGCTTGTTAGTTGTATCAGGTAGTGTGGCGTTATCATGTACCAGATATGCAGATACTGCCCATATTTGGCCCCAGGAGCCCTCGATACTTACTGCGGTTTGGTCACCATCACTATATTGCGAAAGTAAGAGAGCATTAAATTTTTTATTAACCAATATGCAGGACCTAGGCTTACCCTTATTTACTGCATATAATAGGTTGTAGTTTTAAGCCCTGATTCCGCATACAAGATCCTTATAAATCCATGGTTCTTATATCAGGACCATATCAGCCTCGTTGTTGCTGAGGTGTTGCAGTAGACTGGCGGATGC